AATGAATGAACGAATGAAGCTTGGATTCCTGGTAGAACACTGCTTTGAACCGGTACATAAAAAAATAAAACCTCTATTGTGATAAGCCGCTAAAAATTAGAGGTTACTTTGTCTACCAGCTAACATTACCGTAACCTGTATAATTTGTCACTGTTATGTTTTTTAAAAAAAAAAAAGGCAAATAGGAAATGTTTGTGGTATCTCCTATAGCAATTAACTATCAATTTTGACTCAGGTTCTTGAACAGCTGGAATATTCTTAAATTATTTAACATATCTTCCAACTATTACTAAACTCTCTTCAACAGTATTTTCAGAAACCAAGCCCTAAAGGCCAAGATGGCGAGCATTTAAGCACATACACACAAACACAAACTATGTTCTCTATTTCATATTCAATATTTTCTACTGGAAATAGAAAAATCTAAGTAAATGACTATTAATTTAGTAATGTCTCTCCATGTACACCAAAATATCTGAATTTTCATTTTCTTATTCACAAAGTAGGCTAGATCAAAGGCTTAAGTGGGCCTATGGATAGACTTCAGCAAGTATGTGAAGTTATAAGCAAATTTTGAATGTGCACATGTAGCACTTTTTTTTTTAACAGATTTCCAATGATCTATGACCTAGAAATGACTGACCACTATACCAGATAACTTGAGATAACTTCTTATTCCAAATTTCAGTGACCATAAATCTAATTATGCAAGCCTGAGGAAAATTCTGCATGATTTTGTATGGTTCAGACATGTAAATGACTATTACAAACCAGATGTCGCTGTAGATTAGGGGCCAGCAAAAGAAGGCCTGTGCCATCTGGTTTTACAAATAAAGTTTTATTGGAGCACAGCCACATTCATAATTTTATTAATCATCTATAGCTAGTTTCATGCTACATGAGAAGAGACAGCTGTGACAGAACATATCACTTGCAAAGCCTAAAATATTTACTGACTGACCCTTTATAGAAAATGTTTGCTAACCCCTGTGCTAGATGATGACAATCAAAGATGACTAAGTCACAGCCAGGAACAGTGGCTCACACTTGTAATCCCAGCACTTTGGGAGGTCGACATGGGCAGATCACCTGAGGTCAGGAGTTTGAGACCAGTCTGGTCAACATGGTGAAACCCCGTCTCTAATAACAATACAAAATTTAGCTGGGAATGGTGGCAGATGCTTGGAATCCCAGCTACTCGGGAGAATCTCATGAACCTGGTGAGGGGAGGTTCCAGTGAGCCAAGATCATGCCACTGCACTCTAGCCTGTGCGACAGAGTGAGACTTCATCTCGGAAAAAAAAAAAAAAAAAAAAGCCCAAGTCATATCTTCTCACCCAGTGGGCAACACGGATTTTAGTTTAACTATACCCTAAATATTTCTATTAAAGTATGTGGTAGAGAAATTATCTCTACTATGAAAGAACTGTAATATGATTCCGAAGCAGGATATGGCTGCCAAAAATTAGTCCTCAAATAACCGTATGACTTAACTGTTAAATAACAAAATGATTTACCATTGTATACACACACACACACACACACACACACACACACACAGACACACACACACACAGAGAAAAAGAGAAAGGAAAAGGAAAGAGATAATTATATGACAATACCAAGACAGCTGAAGCTATACAATGGAACATAAAATTTGTCTCTGAGTTTCCTCTAGCAGGCAAAAAAAGTAGGGATTTTTTTTTTAAATGAGTAACTACTTGGAAAAAAATAACAGTTAATTAAGAGATGATGAAAAAAACTAAATGACTTTAAACTTTTTAAAAAATTAAAATAACTTAAATTTTTCAAAAATTAAAATGTCCTTTAAAGCCATTTTAGAGACATGCAGAAACAGCCCACCAACTGCAGCTTTTTATAAGGTACTTCAATAAAAGTGAAGGGCATATAATTCAGAGAGTACAGAACTGAGTAACCCAGGTATCCAGTTTAGAAGTGGTTTCACTTTACACCGAAATAAAATGCAGAAGGCACTGAAGAAGCATGCATGCATGAATGAATGAATGAATGCAATACACTTAAACTCTCTGTAAGTAGAAACTGTCAGCATGTCTTACAGGAGGTACTAAGCCCACAATTTAAAACTTTGCTGTTATTAATAAAGTTATTAATGACAATATTAATAAACTGTTATTAACAGTAAAGTTCTTGGCCTATATAACATTAACTGAAAGAAAATGTTTGCTTCAAATCAGTCAGATCCAAACTCTTTTAACCTTCGCCCAGTAAGAAATATTACATTGTAATGCAGCACAAGCATATACATTCATATACTTTCTTGAAATATTACTAAGTTTTAATATAAGCAAACATGCTATGTGGCTTTCTATTCAATGCCATATAGTTTTAAATGCTTGCCATGACCCACTAAAGTGTTTTAACAATAAACTAACTGGTCAGGATCCTTGGTTTGAAAAAGACTATTCTAGATGCCAAGAATAGAGATTGCCAAGCGGATGCTGGATGTTACATTCTTTTCCTAATAGAGAACTACCTCTTCTTCAAAAGATTAAAACAACTGTCTATTGCCAACACAAAAACTTCTCAAAAATCATCTCTGGATTTATACAAATGCTCAAACTGCAAAACTGTAAACACAGATGCTGGGAGAAATAACCTCCCCAGAAAATTTCAAAAGCAGGAATTTATCTCTACCATGAAAGAACTGTAATTAATATAATTCCCAAGAAGGATAAGGTTGCCTGAAAAGACTCCTCAAATAACCATACAAGTTAACCTTTAAATAATGACATGATTTACTATTATCCAACTGGATTCTCAAATTATCCCTTTTTTTTTACTTTTGGCAAAATTAAGTTTAGCTGCTCTGCCACCCAGTAACTGGCCAACAGCTTCAGTTACTTCTTAACTGTGATTTATGTCAGCATAAAAGAGACTATGAGTCCTCCTGTTAGGTAAAAGGTAGAAAAGCACATGCTAATCTAAAAACTACCTCAAGTAGTTCAGGTAGAACACAATTCTGTTAAATGCTACTAAAAACAGGATGTTTTAGAACGGGCGTGGTGGGTCACATCTGTAATCCCAGCACTTTGGGAAGCCTAGGCGGGTGGATCACGTGAGGCCAGGAGTTCAAGACCAGCCTGGCCAACATGGTGAAACGCCATCTCTACAAAAATTAGCCGGGCATGGTGGTGCAGCTACTTGGGAGGCTGATGCAGAAGAATCGCTTGAACCCAGGAGGCAGAGGTTGCAGAGAGCTGAGATCACACCACTGCACTCCAGCTTGGGCCACAGAGTGAGAATGGGTCTCAAAAAAAAAAAAAAAGAATGTTTTATGTTATATTGATGATTTCATGTTTTGTGCCATAAAAATAGGCCAATTCTCCCAATTCTGAATAACAGTCTAAATTCTAATACAATAAAGAATCATTAAAAGTCTGGGACCTATTTTGAGTACATGCAGGTTACCCCATAGAAGGTTACTATGAAATCAACAATTGACAACAGCTTTAATTTTTTTGTTTTTTCTTAGGAAAAACAAAATATAGAACAAGCCAACAATTAAACCTACAATTGATTATTCTTTGCCAGGACATTGAGAGAGACCCCAATGCTTCTATACACGAGCTGCTATAGCAACTCTTCAGAAAATATGTAATCATAAATTTGGAGGGACAAAAGGATTGCCTGTTTAAAAAGAACACTTACAGTTTAATTCATAATTTAATTTAATTTCTCAGGATTTTTCGCAAGGAGTTATTAAGAAAAAGTTTTTAAAATTCTGGAACCATCACACAACTCTAAGCACAAATAGAAACATTTAGAAGTAAAACATCTTCCTCTGACACCTTTCCCAGCTTATAACAATTCATCCATCCAGAAGCCAGACGGGTAACAAAGACCTGTTAAATAGAGTTCTGAAGAACACAAAGCATCAGTACTCATGTCACTATAGACTAGTTAACAGTGTTCAATTCAAATGTAACTTAGGACATGTATTTGAGGGAAGGGGTCTGTAAAATGATATACCTAATTCTAGCCTTTTACAAGTAAATGGTGCCAAAAGACTGCCAAAAAGTAATGAGAGTAGCAGAAAGCTTATAAGACTTCAGCACAGAAAACAACTATATATCAATGTCTAATACATCTCACAAAAATAGGAGTCACTAATAAATAAAATCAAAACAAAAGTGACTGATAAACAACTCCTAACTGTAAAAAGGCAACAATGCATCTTGGCCACAGAGCTGACATGTGATGATCAGTTTTTTTCTTTAAATGTTTACGAAGAAACTGTTTCATGCAACCCACTACTGTCCCACCTAAATAAAAACTTCAGGAAATAAAAGAGATGATATATAAGGTCTGTTTCAGTTACAAAACTCTGTGATTCCATTAGTGAATTTTAGCGCTTCCAGAAACTCAGAATAATCTAGTGTCTCTTCTTTGTTATCAAGACACAAGGGGAACAAAGAGACTGTTAGTCTTTTGCTTAAACTGTAAGAAAGAAACTCAAAGAACAACTTACTGCAAAAGAGGATCAAAATTTGAATGAAAGCCATTTGTGAAGGCTCTGGACCCAATTTGTTCAGAAGTCACGCACAAGTACACATGCACATACAGCTTAAAAGTTTTATGATACTAAAAATATATATTCTACAAAGGACTAAAACAATGATCAATTTTTTTTTTTTTGAGACAGAGTCTCACTCTGTCACCCAGGCTGGAATGCAGTGGCACGATCTCGGCTCACTACAACCCCCGCCTCCCGGGTTCAAGTGATTCTCCTGTCTCAGCCTCCGGAGTAGCTGAGATTACAGGTGCATGCTACCACGCCCGGCTAATTTTTGTATTTTTAGTAAAGACATGGTTTCACCATGTTGGCCAGGCTGGTCTTGAACTCCTGACCTCAAGTGATCCACCCACCTTGGCCTCCCAAAGCACTGGGATTACAGGCATGAGCCACCATGCCCGGCCAAAAATTGAAGTTTGATTTTATCGATCCCATTAGAAGTTACCTGGTGGTAAGTCAGGATCTGTAGGAGCAGCCTGCTGAATTCTCCGTGGTTTGATTGATGATTTTGTGTTCTCAGTAGTACTACGGTTGGTGGAATTAGAACCACAGCTTTCATGGTCATCCTATTTTTATTTTAAAGAAAGAAAAAGAAAACCATCAATCATATTCAACAATTAAGAAAAAAATTTTATATATGCAGTCTGTGGTAGCTACAGGAGAAAGATCAACATAATTTTATTTTTAGCTCTAAAAACTACATAACCAATTTTCATAATTTGCATTCTCAAACAGCATTTAAAAATATTAATAACTAGTAGTTTAAAACTATAAATTCTTCTTTCTTTAGCTGATGTCAAAACAAACTACTTGACAGTCTCCAAAGAATTCTTATTTATGGCTCTAGCAAAAGAAAAAATTACTTAATGAAAGCCTTTAAACAACATCCATCTCTATGTAAGTGCAAAATAAATAAAAAGGTTCTTAATTTTTCCCCTATTTGTTGTTTATATGTTAAAACACTATTTTCAATCCAAGCTATCTTGGTCATCTTTAATGATTAATCTTAATCACCCTTATAATCCTCTCCATCCTACTAAACAATGTATACTAAATTATCATTCATGTTAGGTATAAGTTTTAACTGGGTTTCAATATGAGTAACAGAAACAAATAAATTATACATATTTTTTAAATTTATCCCTTTATTTATAATTGCAAATGAGTACTTTTTTCTGTCCTGATTCAACATTTATGTAATGCTCTTACATGCCAATTGCTGGATTTACAAGGATAAATTAGATATATTTATCTTTGTATCCTGCCCTTAGGGACTTCAGAATCTATCAAACACATATATAACTAATTCTACAACAGCAATACTTTTGTTTGTTTTTAAGTAATAAGGAGCATAAAAAGAGTCATTATGTTTGGGAGAACTAGAAAGATCAGGCCATTCAAAATCAAATGTAGAAATGTTTTAGGTTTAGACTGGGGCTAATTGAGGTGTGGAGGGAGGGACCATAAGCAAAAGCAAAACAGTATCAACATATGTAGCACATATAAAGAATGATGATTAGTCAAATAAGGCCAGAGTGTACAGTATCTAAGATGGAAGAAGTTAAAGGCACAGATCTTTCAATAAAAATGGGGTAATGTTAACAACTATAGAGATATTCTCAGTCCTCATTCTAGTTGGCCTGTTTCAGGATTTGGTAATTAGGAGGAGGCTGCCACTAACCTATTAGAAAGGAGATTTAGCAGTTCCCACAGAAAGAGAGAATTGGGAGCAGTAAATGAGTAGCTCAGAGTGAATGAGAAATTACAGTGGAGTCAATAAAAATAAACTGCACTTTCACGAAGATAGGCATTACAAAGAGAAAATAGGTGGAGTAGTAACATGAGGGAAAATCATCTGGCAACTAAAACTTCTTATTACTTTTTTGAGGATAAAAGAATACATTTTTTCTTGAAGTAAAAATGCATATGTGGAGTGAGAGATCAAAGATACCAATTTTACAAAGGGTAGTTGAGAGTGCACTGCGCACCATGAATTCATTAATCAATAATAACACTATTTTATAGTGATGAATAATCATCACTAGTTTACCAAACTCACAGGGTATTAGAGGCAAATAAGAACGATAATAAGACCTCTTTAAGAAAATTTTTATTCACTATCGCACTAAGAGAAATATACAATAAACGGTGTTTTACAAAATTGCATGGCTTCAGATGGTAGTGATACATTAGAAAAAAATTTGTTTGAAACTTCATATAAACAAAATGACTTGCAACCATAAACAAGAGTGAAAATTTTCTCACAACCTTATGTTCATTTTAAGTTAATGAAAAACAAACACCACAGGTTTCATTCCACAAAATAACTTCACTATTCAATCTTCATAAAGATATCTTCTGTTATTTGGGGGATGTTACGGTCTTAAATACTAAAAGACTACTACCGTGAATAAAGCCTTACTGTAATTACTTTTAGTTCAATTTAAATCCTTAAAAATGTCCACAGTCATACACTTCTGCACAACATTAACATTGAAAGCACATTATTAATTTTTGAAACATATGGTTGTCTCAAAAGCCCAGAAGTAAAACATGTTCATTAAAGAGATGTGAAAAAGTTCCAAGTGAACTGCCAAAACTAGCATAATTATGAAAATATTTAACACTGAAACCATCTGAAATCACATACTGTATATAGATTATGGTGATGTCATAATAAACATTCCAGCCAAAATGCACTAAAACTACTGCAGTCCAATAAATCTGGCATATGTGAGATGACAAACATTTTAAAGCAAAAGAAAGAACAAGTTATTTTTACTCTATTTTTAAAAAATTATTAGCAGCAAAATGGGATTAAATGAAAAGGATGAGTTTTCAAATTTTTGTTAAAAAAAAAAAAAGTGAATAAAGCTTCCCTGCAAACTACATGTATTTATTATTCAAAAGAGAAACAAACTAAATAACTTTATTTGCCTAAACAAAATTTATTTTAAAAACCTGAAATTTTTGTGTGCTCAAAAAATGAGCATTAATCATGGTACTCACAGGAATATATACTATAAACCAAACATTACCAAACACATAAACACTTCTTTCTTAATTATGGTTAGGAAACTTTGACAATGTATACACTATAATTAGAAATTAATCCTTTCAATGATTTGAACTTGTTTTCATTTCAATTACATTTTAGTTGTATCCAATAAAAGTGAGTTTCCATTCAAATCATGCCCCAATCAAATTAAATAAAAATAAAGCCAAATAAGAATAATTATAATATTTACTATTAAGACTGAAATTACTTCCATTAGTTTTGAATTCATTATCTGCTTTTAACCAGTAGGCATCACTGTGGACTATTACACAGTTTTCATTCACTGAAAGCCTTTAATTACTAATAAAAGAAACTCTGTTCTCAAAAATACTAGCTAAAATATTTTCAGATAATTTTTAACACCAAACACATTACAGTTAATATCTTATTTAGGTTGCAACTTTTTCCAAAATGTCTGGTAAGTATATTTCATGGCCAAAGAATGTTTTCTCTTGGGGACCACATAGCTATTTCTGAAAATACTGCCATTTACTCCTCATGAAACAAGCAAGAATGTCATTTCCTTACAAAAGTTCCTAACAGAGGAAAAATGTGTGGCAAACACTGCATGTAAATAGACCATTACTTTCATACTGACAGATCATGAGTTCATGTTGCACACTTTTCTCCCTGTCCCTCATAGGGCTAGTCAACTAAAACTAGAAAACCATCAACTCCTAGATTCATAATAGTGTGAATAAAATTGAGAATAAAACTGAAAACAAGTAACTAAATCATTCAAGTCCTCGTCTAAAATTACAAGAGCAAGAAGTTAAGATGCAGGAAAGAGCTGAAGAAGGAGAAAATGAACAGTGAAACTAAGAGGTGATGTACTTTATGCTCAACCCTGTGGCACCAAACCTCGCAAGCAGAAAAGAACTAAGACTCACCTGTCAACTCTGATCACCAAAGGGGCTTAGAAATGAACTGCTACAAGGCTCTTAGGAACATTCACCTCTATCCTCTCCAGTAGCAAGTACAATGATAATTGCCAGATGCAATAAAGAATCTCTGAGAGTAACACTGCACACTTCAAAGTCAGAAAGCTAAATAAAGTCATTTACTCAGAGGTACACTTGAAGAGCACAAGAGAGAGCCAGGGAAAACACATTCACTAAGTTTCATGGTAAAAATAGAAATCTGACTCAACTCTACCTTAAGAGCAATATTTAAAACCTTAGCTTTAATCATAAAAAAATATATATCTGTATATATATCAAGCATGCTTAAATAAAGAGGAATGTGTAACACCAATCTCTTCACACATCAACTTTAGTCCACAAGGGAGGCTGCTTCCATCTTCTCTCCTATCAAGAGTAGAAATAAGGGGTTATGATAGGCTGGAAAAAGGAAAAAGAAATGACCCTCCCTTGTATTATTTTCACTTGATCATCTCAAAGGAAGATATAACTAACCTGAATGACCAAAAGCTGAACATTCATTGGGCCCATTTTAATAATAAAGGAGATGACTGTACTCACTGTGAACACTTCTATGTGCTTTTCTAATCGCTTCTCTTCTAATCTCTGAGACCCATGCTACTCAGTAAAAGGACCAGAGCCATTTTCCCAGATGACTCAACCATTAGCCATCTCTCCTCTGCCTTCTTTTCACCCACATAGCCCCCGACCCATGATATTGCCCCAGCCACAGAATGATCAAACTATTGAACTATGCCACAACATCTATCAGAGAAATAGCAAACCATGTTAGGAAAAATTTGTTATTTATATCTACCTATGACATTCCTTTCCTTCATATTGGTGGGTGTGTATCAGATTGCCACCTCCCTCTCACACTTTTTTTAAACAACAGAATTGAAACTGTGAGATCCACTCGAAGATTTAGAAGGTGAAATAGGCAGAAATTCAGGGAGGAAAAAAAAAAGTAAATACAGAACTACCCTGGTCTAAACCACATTCTACCATCTAATTTTTACCAGAATTCGCTGGGGGGAATTGGGTTATTGAACAGATCAATTTAACTGCACTTTGTTTTCTTGTATACAACTTCCCTCAGCAACAGATGTCCGAGCAAAGTAAAGTATGTGTTAGGCACCTCAGGGAAAAAAAAATATCTTCTATTTTATCTCTAGTAAAATAGAAGATATCTTTATCTAAGTATTTTACCTATTTACTCAAATAACAAAACCTACGTATACATTAAAAAGTTAGTAATTTAAGAGTTAATCAGGCCAGGCATGGTGGCTCACGCCTATAATCCCAGCACTTTGGGAGGCAGGTGGATTGCCTGAGGTCAGGAGTTCGAAACCAGTGTGGTCAACATGGTGTAACCCTGTCTCTACTAAAACTTCAAAAAAATTAGCAGGGCGTGGTACTGTGCACCTGTAATTCCAGCTACTCAGGAGGCTGAGGCAGGGGAATCGCTTGAACCAGGGAGGTGGAGGTTACAGTGAGCCAAGATCGTGCCACTGCACTCCTGCCAGGGTGACAAAGAGAGACTCCATCTCAAAAAAAAAAAAAAGTTTATCAGTGATTATATACATCA